CCCTTACTGACCAGGCCATTTTTTTTGTGTTATTGCTCTGCGTTATTTTAACTGACAATTGCGCGGTCATGCAACACTGTACATAATGGAAATGTATGTCCTTTTTATCCCACAAATAGAGCTTTCTTTTGGTGGTATTTGATCACCTCTGCGGCTTTTATTTTTTGCGCTATAAACACAAAAATACTGACAATTTTGAGAAAAAAAACTATATTTTTTACTTTTTTTTTTGCTATTAAACATGTCCAGTAAAAAAAATTTAAAACATCAAATTTTTTCATAAATTTAGGCTGTGTGTCTTTTGCTACAAAAAAATCCCATTACATGTAAATGAATTGGTTTACATGAAACTTATAGCGTCTACAAATGGCGGTATAGATACTGGGATTTTTTTATGTTTTTTTTTACTAGTAATAGTGGCGATCAGCGACTTATAGCGGGACCGTGGCGGACATTCTGACACTGGTGGGAACTGACTTGGTGTCACTGACATCCCTAGTGACACCAATACAGTGATTAGAGCTAATAAAAAGCACTCACACTGTACTAATAGCACTGGGCAGGAAGGGGTTAACATCTGGGGCGATCAAAGGGTTAACTGTGTGCTGTGTGTGTGATTTATACTCTGCTATGCAGAGCCATACAAAGCAGTGTGCAGGAGTTGACAGGGGAGAGATCTGTGTTGTTTATACACAGGTCTCTTCCCCATCGGTGATACTGGGTGATTGCCGAGGGCCGGCGGGGAATCATTGGTTGGGACCTGGTGATTGACAGCTGAGACCACGTACGGCGGTGCTCGTAGGGTGTGGGCGTGCCCCATACCCGGTAAGGCAAAATCACGTATATACAGTAAGGTTCGTATATATTTGGACACAGGCACAATTTTAGATTTTTCAGGTATTTACAAAAACATATTCCAGCTATAGTTATATAATGGATATGGGCTGAAAGTGCACACTCAGGTTTCATTTGAGGGTATGTACATCCAAATTAGAGGAAGGGTTTAGGAATTACAGCTCTTAAGAGTAGCCATCCCCCCTTTTTCAAGGGACCAAAAGTAATTGGACAATTGAATCAAAAGCTGTTTCATGGCCAGGTGTGGGCTACTCCTTCATTATTTCTTCATCAATTAAGCAGGTAAAAGTGCTGGAGTTGATGCAAAGTGTGGTATTTGCATTTGGAATCTATTGCTGTGAACCTACATCATGGTTTCAAAGGAGCTGTCCATGCAAGTGAAACAGGCCATTGTAAGGCTTCAAAAACAAAACAAATCCATCAGAGAGATCGCAGCAACATTAGGAGTGGCCTAATCAACAGTTTGGTACATTTTGAGGAAAGAACGCACTGGTGAGCTCAACAACATAAAAAGGCATGGACGTCCATGGAAGACAACAGTGGTGGATGATCCTCTCTATGGTAAAGGAAAACCCATTCACAACATCCAGACAGGTGAAGGACACTCTCCAGGAGGTGGGCGTATCATTGTCAAAGTCTACAATCAAGAGAAGACTTCACAAGAGCAAATACAGAGGGTTCACCACAAGGTGCAAACCATTCAAAAGACTGAAGAATAGAAAAGCCAGATTAGACTTTGCCAAAAAACATCTAAAAGAGCCAGACCAGTTCTGGAAAAGCATTCTTTGGACGGATGAAACTAAGAATAATCTGTAACAGAATGATGGGAAGAAAAAAGTGTGGAGAAGGCTTGGGACAGCTCATGATCCAAAGCACACAACGTCCTCTGTAAAACATGGTGGTGGCAGTGTGATGGCATGGGCATGCATGGCTTCCAGTGGCACTGGGTCATTGGTGTTTATTGATGATGTGACAGAAGACAGAAGCAGCCGGATGAATTCTGCAGTGTTTACAGATATACTGTCAGACCAGATTCAGCTAAATGCAGCAAAGTTGATTGGACGGCGCTTCACAGTACAGATGGACAATGATCCAAAATACACTGCAAAAGCAACCCAGGAATTTTTGAAGGAAAAGAAGTGGAATATTCTGCAAAAAGGCAGAAACACTTGCAAACAAAGAACAACTGAAGACAGCTGCAGTTAGAGCCTAGCAAAGCATCAGAAAGGAGGAAACCTAGTCTCTGGTAATGTCCATGGGTTCCAGACTTCAGGCAGTCATTGCCAGTAAAGGATTCTCAACAAAATATTCGCTTGAGGTGATTGTGCGACATACCCCGAAAGCTTGTCCTCAAAATTGTATGTTAGTGCAAATAAAAAAAGTATCACGGACAGTACTCAATTGTTTCTGTAACAAAATATTCAAAATTAACATTTTAATTATGATTACATTCAATTGTGCAATTACTTTTGGTCCCTTGAAAAAGGGGGGATGGCTACTCTTAAGAGCTGTAATTCCTAAACCCTTCCTCCAATTTGGATGTACATAACCTCAAATGAAACCTGAGAGTGCGCACTTTCAGCCCATATCCATTATATGACTATAGCTTGAATATGGTTTGGTAAATACCTGAAAAAAATAAAAATGTGCCAGTGTCCAAATATATATGGACTTAACTATATGTGATTTTGCGCAGCTCTGCCAGCCTGTAGCAGTATTTCTGCTATAATGCGGAACGGAAGCACTTAAGAACCTGGCATTTATTAGATCACTTCCAGGTTTAGCTCTCATGTTCCCCAACTGCTGTAGCCAGGGATGAAGCTAATGGAGCATGATCTGTGCTCTATTAGCTTAATTGGAGAGCAAAAAGCTTGTGACAACAAATAGGAACAATAAGAAAGTTTAAGAAGGTAAAAAAAAATAAAATAAAAAAAGGTTACACCCAAGCACCTGAACCCCTCCCCCCTCCAAAACAAAGTTGAAGCCATCCCTTATATGCACACACATGAATGTAAACAGACCTAATCAGGGCTGTCTATGTGCAAAAACGTTGCTTGTGATACACGTTACATATTTGCCATGCACACCAGAGCGAGAGCAATAATTCTAGGCCCATTATTCACTCTAAGCTGGTGACCTGCAGGGGTTTTAAAGTGTTGCCTGTGGAAAATTTAGAGTACTGAAGTGTGTCTCTGTTGCATGTCATTTTAAGCCTCAATATTTTGGGTATCTATTTAAAAAATAGATAAATATATTACCAAAAAATTGGTAATATATTGCATTTGTGTGCCCCAAATTATACCACATTTGTTACTGAAATTTTACACTTTTACAATTTGACACAATATTCCGCTAATGTTGTCTGGCTATAAAATATGGAACCAGCACCAGTTTATACTCCCAGGTAATTGTTTTCAGAAAATATGTAATGTTTTGTTGGTCTTAAATAATATGTTACTCCAATATTTCATATTCCTGATATGTGTCTGTTGTGTCATGTACTTGTATGAAAAGTGTCCTGTTCGCTTTGTATTGCTTCCCTTGTGTGAAATTCCTGTTGATCCTGCCACTCCCTCTCAGCCTGTCTGTCCTCCAATAGTCAGGATTGTGCTGACACCCCCCTGCACAGCCATTCACTGGAAAGACCAATGTGTTGCTGTCCTTCCTCTCCCAGACCCTTATGTAGCTGAAAACAGAGGGAATGTGATCACTTATAAAAAGAAAAAAAAGGGGTTTATATATATAAAAATATATATATATATATACACATAACCCTCAAAATGCGAGTGGGCAAGTGGAAATAACGTGGGGACAAGCAGTGCCTGGACTAGGGATGGGTGGGACAGTCGACAGTGGAGGCAGTCACAAGGACTGATCACCTGTATGGCTCTCAATGAAGCAGCTGAAAGCCACAGGATGGAGAGCAGAAGAATTGGCCTCCAGCTGTTTAATTGAAAGCCATACAGGACATCAGTCCTTGTAACTGCCCCCACCTCTGAATTGATCATCCCGGATCCTATAGTTTCTTTCCAGCCCTACTTATGTTCAGCAGTGCAAGACAAATAAATTCTTTAAAAATCATACAATGTGATTTCCTGATTTTTTTTTTTTAAATTCTGTCTCTCAGAGTGGGAATGCACCTACAATGTGAATTTCAGACCCCTCCATGATTTCTAAGTGGGAGAACTTGCAAAATCGCAGGGTGTTCAAATACCTCTGTTCCTCACTATATATATATACATAAATGTCTTTTATTTCCATTTTAAACTAAATGGATTGTTTTACAAGGTAAGGGGTCACAGATACTTTAACCCCTCGATGCTGAGCGTACGCAAATATGCGGCCTCTCGGTGTCTGGGCCTTGATGCCAAGCGGCTGCATATTTGTGTGCCATTAGAAAATACATATGTGCTGAGAGCGCGCGCCCCCAGCACATGTGTCCTTGACTCACAGAAAGGTCCCGATCTCCCCTTGCGATCTGGACCTTTTCTGATCATGTGACTGCTGTGATAGCGAATCACGGCAGTCACATGACCCTAAAACCCCTCCCGGCTTCTGAAACTCTTAAAAGGCCGGGAGGCGCCGACACGAAGGGGTTAAGTAAGCTTCAGACCTAAAATGACTTTTTAAAAGTGTGCAAAAAAACTCAAAAATAGCTCTCGCAGCCAAGGATTCATCCACACTGCCTGCATCCTAAATGCTCCGTTGTAGCGTGCAGGCAGCTCACAGTTTAGTTCCTGCAGTGAGCTGCGGCACTGGGCTGGTGTGATTTTCACTGTATCATGCTATTTACTTTTTTTTTTTTTTAAGCAGGTTTGACAGTGCCAGTGTGATTGAGGCCCTCATTCCCCCGGAATATGTTCTGTTTTACAGTATGAGAATAGGAAATAAAAGAACCCTTTCTATCCCTCCATTGCTATCATTATATTCTATAGGAATGTGATTCGTCTCCATCTAGCGGCCGTTTCTGGTAACTGACAGCACAATCAGTTGGAAGGTATGATGTCTCCCTCTAGTGGCCGTTCATGGAGTGGCGTTGCTTCTCTCTTCCCCCTCCCCCTGTCCTCCTGGTCCCTCCTCTCTGGTGAGGCCTGCTGTCTGTGTCATGCTGATCAGGAAGCTGAGTGTGTGTGCAAGCTGGAGCAATGGCCACGTTCTTCGGGGAGGTTTTGTCTGTGTTCAGCCGGGCAGTGGATGATGAGGATGAAGAGCAGGAAGAGGACGAGGATGAGGAGGACAGAGAGATCAGGAGAGAGCTGGAGAAGAAAAGGTTAATCTTTATCACACTTATCTTCTATTAGTGGGGAAAGTTACATTGTTGTCTACTTAAGGACTGACTGTAACAGTTACATGTGATGTGATTTCCTATACTGATGGGGTGCGGGGGGCTTCCTAATACAGAGAAGGACCACTGCTGACTTCATATATCTCCACTTTATTGGGCCAGAATATTCTGCCGGACACATTCTATGGGCCTGGTGCTCAACACACAGTCTGGGGGCCGTATGTGGCACCTATGGTGTGGCCCTGAGCACCTGCATAGTTTTTTTTTTGTATTGTGGGGCTTACCCAGGCTGGTGAAGGACAAAACTCCTCTGACTGGCTTGTGGATCTTTTCATTCATAGCGTCTTCCTTTTTCTGTGCTATCGCTTTCTCTTTCATTTTTTTACAAATATATATATATATAATGGGTTTTAGCGCTGTGGAGACATTACCTGGGGTATGAGGCTATATAAGTGGTCTGCAGGGACTAAAAATGTGAACGCATTGATTTATAAAGGGGATCTAAGGAGCACTGATCTCTAGCAGTCTCATGCAATGTGTTTCCAGTTTTCAACTATCTTATGAAGTCTCCAACAACTCCTGTAGTGTGTCTGTAGTCTCTGACCATTCCCTGTATCGTGTCTGTAGTCTCTGACCATTCCCTGTATCAAGTCTGTAGTCTCTGACCGTTCCCTATATCAAGTCTGTAGTCTCTGACCATCTCCCTGTATCAAGTCTGCAGTCTGTGACCGTCTCCTGCATCGGCTCTGCAGTCTGTGACCGTCTCCTGCATCGGGTCTGCAGTCTGTGACCGTCTCCTGCATCGGCTCTGCAATCTGTGACCGTCTCCTGCATCGGCTCTGCAGTCTGTGACCGTCTCCTGCATCGGCTCTGCAGTCTGTGACCGTCTCCTGCATCGGCTCTGCAGTCTCTGACCGTCTCCTGCATCGGGTCTGCAGTCTGTGACCGTCTCCTGCATCGGCTCTGCAGTCTGTGACCGTCTCCTGCATCGGCTCTGCAGTCTGTGACCGTCTCCTGCATCGGCTCTGCAGTCTGTGACCGTCTCCTGCATCGGCTCTGCAGTCTCTGACCGTCTCCTGCATCGGCTCTGCAGTCTGTGACCGTCTCCGGCATCGGCTCTGCAGTCTCTGACCGTCTCCTGCACCATCGGCTCTGCAGTCTCTGACCGTCTCCTCACCTGTCTGCAGTCTCTGACCGTCCTTCTATCGAGTCTGCAGTCTCTGACTTTCACCTGCTTACCATCTCCTGTATCCAGTCTGCAGTCTCTGACCGTCTCCTCTATCCAGTCTGCAGTCTCTGACCGTCTCCTCTATCCAGTCTGCAGTCTCTGACCGTCTCCTCTATCGAGTGTGCAGTCTCTGACAGTCTCCTCTATCGACCGTCTCCCGTCTCTATCCAGTGTGCAGTCTCTGACCGTCTCCTCTATCGAGTGTGCAGTCTCTGACCGTCTCCTCTATCGAGTGTGCAGTCTCTGACCGTCTCCTCTATCGAGTGTGCAGTCTCTGACCGCTGACCATCTCCTCTATCGAGTGTGCAGTCTCTGACCGTCTCCTCTATCGAGTCTGCAGTCTCTGACCGTCTCCTCTATCGAGTGTGCAGTCTCTGACCGTCTCCTCTATCGAGTGTGCAGTCTCTGACCGTCTCCTCTATCGAGTGTGCAGTCTCTGACCGTCTCCTCTATTAGAGTGTGCAGTCTCTGACCGTCTCCTCTATCGAGTGTGCAGTCTCTGACCGTCTCCTCTATCGAGTGTGCAGTCTCTGACCGTCTCCTCTATCGAGTGTGCAGTCTCTGACCGTCTCCTGCTATCGGTCTGCATCTCTGACCGTCTCCTGCATCGAGGTCTGCAGTCTCTGACCGTCTCCTCATTCGAGTGTGCAGTCTCTGACCGTCTCCTGCATTAGGTCGAGTGACCGTCAGTCTCTTAGGTCAGTCTCTGACCGTCTCCTGCATTAGGTCTGCAGTCTCTGACCGTCTCCTCATTACCTGCTGACCATCTCCTGTATCATTAGGGTATGCAGTCTCTGACCGTCTCCTGTATCAAGTATGCAGTCTCTGACCCTCTCCTCTATTGAGTCTGCAGTCAATAGAGGAGACTGTCTGACCATTTCCTGTATCGTATCTGTACTCTCTGACCGTGTCCTGCACCAGGTCTGCAGCCTCTGCAATTCCAATGTCAGCCAATGCAAAGTGAAGGGATGGATGCTGCTCAACCAACCCCAGGAGTCAAATGTTGTGTAATGGCCTCAGCTGCCATTCTGGCCACACCCTCTGATGCATTTCACCCGCCCACCAGGGGTTTGGTCACAGAGGTCTGTGACCAAGCCCTTGTGGGTGGGGAGAATCGCATCAGTGGGCGTGGCCAAAACAAAGGCTGAGACCATTCTACAGCATTGGACTCCTGGGGTCGATTGAGCAGCATCCATCCCTTCACTGGCATTGGCGCACTCTGCAATGTATTGCAATCAAATCCTGTGCTGGGGTCGGGGCCAAGCTGTTCTGTGTCTATGGATGCACACAGCTCGGCTCGGTAGTGAGCTTGCAGGTGTACCACCATAGGAAACAGCTTGCAAAGGGGGCACACAAGAAGAAGAGGAGGAGCCAAGAGCGCCAGTTGGGGACCTCAGAGGAGGAGCTTTAGGACCACTTTAAGCAATGCCATTGCACAGAGCAGGTAAGTATAACATGTTTTTATTTTAATAAAAAATATATAATCTACAACTGCTCTAAAGTCATTTTTGATATGTTAAAATCTACAGCTTTCATTAGAATAATATCTGATGGCCCTGCCATGAAATTCCAGATTCAGACACTTACTGTAAAGGGGTGACAACCTTTTACCTGTCTCTCAGTTCTCCTGTGTTGTCACCCTGTTCATGCTGTACCAAAGGAGAATGCGAGCAGCTGGGGAAACATGCACCCTCCTGAGCAGAGTGTGTGTGTGACCTCGGCAGAGAGACCACTGCTTCAACATAGATAGCAAGAGTCCTCTGCAGCATGCTGAAGGGCACAGGCTTTTCTACTCAGGCTGGGGCTGCTTTCTAGATAAAACCAATTGTTTAGTTAGCTAAACACATTCCAGAGGCAAAAGGTGTGAAAAGTTAGGGTGAACGCGCATTTGGGCCATTCTATCCACCAGCAGAAGATTTGGAAGGGAGGTCTACCAGGCAGGGGCGTCCCTAGGTAGGTGCGGGGGGTGCGCGCCACGCCGGGTGACACCTACCGCACGGGGTGACACCGGACCCGCTCCACGAAAAGGTAAGTTGTAAAGCAAGCCGACGATCCCCGCAGGATGGATCGGATCTGCGGATTGAGCATAATGGATCGGACTCCGATCCTTATGCTCCCCAATCCGCAGATCCGATCCATCCTCCGGGAATCGTCGGCTTGCTTTACAACGTACCTTTTCGTGGAGCGGGTCCGGTGTCGCCCCATATAGGTTGCATGCCGACGATCCCCGCAGGATGGATCGGATCTGCGGATTGGGGAGCATAGTGGATCAGACTCCGATTCATTATGCTCAGATTCATCCTGCGGGGATCGTCGGACTGGTGACACCAAGTGTTAATGCACCGGGTGACACCAACCCTAGGGACGCCCTGCTAGCAGGTTTCATCGGTGTGTCTGGAGCTTCTATTATAATAACAGCTTTTCTTTTTGTTGGATAATAAACAGAGAGAAGAGTAGAATATTGTATGTCTAGTTTTATTTCCTCTGATCTGTATTCAGATATTTCTATATAAACCATGTGACGTTCTGCCTTCTCCTTGCAGGGAAGTGACTCTGACTTGGAGCCCGGAGACCAGCGCGACCATTGAGAACTCTCCTGACCACAGACTCGGCTGCTCCAGTCTGATCCTGGCTGTTGGTGACAATGCTACAGGTTGGTAATTGGGCAATAAAAAGACCAAGTATTCCTGAAATTGCCTTCTAAAAAAAACACTGACCAATGTGCAATCTGTCCTGCAACCATCTATGCCACGGGGTGTCAAACTGGCGGCCCTCCAGCTCTTGCCAAACTACAAGTCCCATGAGGCATTGCAAGATTGACAGTTACAAGCATGACTCCCAAAGGCAGAGGCATGATGGGACTTGTAGTTTCGCAACATCTGGAGGGCCACCAGTTTGACATCCCTGGTCTGTGCCAAGATCCAGCATCCTTAACCTCTTGGCGCCTGTCGAACGCAAATGTGTGGCCTCCGGGGTCTGGGCCTAGACGCCGAGCGGCCGCACATTTGCATTCTATTAAAAAAAGCACATGTGCTGAGAGCGCGCACTCCCAGCACACATGTTCCGTGCTCACGGAAGGGTCCCGATCTCCTCTTTCGATCAGGACCTTTCCCGATCATGTGACCGCCGTGACAGTGAATCATGGCGGTCACATGACCCTAAAACCCCCTCCCAGCTTCTGGAACCCTTATAGGGCTGGGAGGCGCCGGCACCAAGGGGTTAAAAACTGCTCAGCTCATGCAGGAGCAGAGGAAAGTGATATTAATGCAACATTACCTTGTTCTTTTTTTTTTTTACCCCCCCCCCCCCATTTCTGTAATTATGAATACATTTTTATATATAGGGGTGACTTTTTTGCAGTTCACAGTCTGCACTTCCTCAATTTCTGGTCTAGCCCCCTGCTTGAAACCTCTTGAGATACCGGCATCATCACAGATCCCACAAGGCTGTAGGCCTCATCAGGAGGTCGGCTCCTAGGACCCAGAAGGGAGAGCCGGCTGTCTGATGACATGACAAAGACAATGGTGGCGTAGGACCCAGAGTGCAGCAGCTGTAGGTGGATGAGTGGGACATTGCTGGATCCACCAGGCGGGTGTGAGTATGCTATTCCTATGAATCTCCACCTTTTTTTCAGATGCAACACACTTTAAAAACGTATGCAAAACCTCAAGGCATCCAAACATTGAGCATTGCGCAGGGTTGTGGGGCGCTTGCAGAGCGGCCTTATTCACTGACAAGGGGGAAGCAAAAACACAGGAAGCAAAAAAATCAAAAAAACTGTCATGTTGTACACCCCTGGATGCTGCCTCTACAGCGAAAATGGGGAGTGGTTGATGAGTGGTAAAGATGCAGCTCAACCATGGTTTTACCACCCCTCAACTGTGAACAAACCCTAAAAAGAAAATTGTTTTAGAAGGAATATTTTTTTTTTTTTTGGTAGAAGAGACTACCTCCGAAGGTTTGTTTTTTTTTTTGTTTTTTTTTAAGCCTCATGTACAACTTGAGTTTTGATAACGCTGGTAACCTTAGCTGTGTAAAGTCACATTAAAAACTTTTTCAGCTTTTGTTAGCATGTTTGCATTGGCGTTTAGCAAAGTTTTCCTGCAAGTTTTTGCATTTCTTTGACCAAAAAAAATTTTGGGGGGGGTCAAAAAAAAAGTCCAAAAATGCTGGTTTGCGGCGTTTTTGCTGCCTTTTTCAAAACTCCTCTATAAACCCTCTAGTTCTGGGTTTTTTTTCCAGCCAAAAAAAACACTGATTCCAGTCTTTGTGTGCATGGACACATAGGATAACATGCTGGGGGGTTTACTGGCTGTAGAAAAAAACGTCAAAAGTCAAAAACAGCCGCTGTAAAAAACGTCCTGTGTGCATGAGGGCTCAAGCAAATGAATTACTTTGTTCTGAAATGGGCAAATGGAATGGGTTGTTTTAAAAGAGGGACTGTCATTGGAATATTCACTTTTTCTGCAAAAACCGACTCATTTTGAGGGCTTTAACTCTACCCTCTTCACCAGGACTTAGAAAAATGAATCAATGAAAACAGTGTTCACATATATGCGGTGCGGGTACATCGCATGTGATTCCCAGGAACCGCAACGCAGTCCTGTTGGCTGCATTTCTCATGCGAATTGTGTGCGGTGCGATTGGAGCCACTGGACACTTTTTATGGCTCTATTCGCACTGCACCCGCACCAAAAACATGCAGGACCCCTTTTTTTGGGTCCGCACTAGAAATCGGATCACATGGGTATTTACACCTATTGTGATCCAATTCTTAACATACACACCCACAGCGGTTCGCACCTTACGAACGGGGTATGATTCTGATGCCAGTGCGGAATTTGCACTGAAAATGCTGCGAATTCCACACCACATTAGTGTGAATTCGGGCTCAGTGGACTTTTTTTTTTTTTTAAATATTTATTCATTTTCCATATTTAAATACATGTTCCATCATTGCTCTCATATAACATACAAAACCATCAATTATATCCCTTTCTGTCACTATTGCCATAAAACCCCCCCCCCCCCCCCCCCCCCCCCCCCCCCCCCCCACCCCCCACCTACCTCTAAATCTCCATCTACCCTCCATCCCACCCCCCCAAAACCACCCACTCTGCATTTCTCCACTATATCTCTCCCTAAGCAAGGGGCACTTTCACATATCCCCACTCTACTGCTTCATGTATTTCACCTTGGGCACAAAATCTTCCCATTTTCCCCACCTCTTCTATATATAACCCCATCTTGTCTTCTTGCATATAATACAGTTTCTCCTATCCTACATATCTGATTCACTCTTTCCACCCAGTCCTCTTCGTCGGCACCTCTGACCTATATCAAGACATAGGTATCAGACCCTTTGCCGCATTTAAATAATACCATATACCCGAATTCCTTATATTTGTTCACTGATAGTTCTGTACTATGTAATAAACACAACTCTGGATCCAATCCCATCTTTATCTCAGTAATTATCCCAATTAAGTGAACTATTGTCTTCCAAAAACCTTGAATTTTTGGGCACTCCCACCATATGTGATATAACGTGCCTATCTTTCCACACCCTCGCCAACACTCTGGTGAATTCTCTCCACTCATCTTGTGTTCAATATTCGGTGTAATGTGCCATCTTATTAAACATTTATAATTTACCTCCACCTCTCTCATGCTTATGTTCTCGTGCGTTAGTCTATATATCTTCCTCTGTTAGTCCTCATCTATCTCCATCCCCAAATCCCTTTCCCAATTTGCTATGTACATTGGCTTTGTGTGTGTGTGTCTAATTCAGTGAGGATCTTATAGATTTTTGCCGTGCCCCGTTTCCCATCTCCGCGTGATTCCAACAACCTCTCAAACAAATTCCAATCCTTTCTCAATCTCAAAGGTTTCAGAAGACTCCTGACAAAGTGTTTTAATTGGTGATATCTCCACTCATCTATCTTAATGAAAAGTTCCCTTTTGTCCTTTTCCAAGTCCCTAAGTGTTCTCAATTCCTGCCCTTCCATAATATCTCTCAATTGAATGTCCTCCTTTTTAAACCATTTTCCTGTATTCTCCTCCCTTCCTGGAGGGAAATACTCCGTGTTCCTCAGTGACATTAATTGTGAATTAAAAATCCCACTTCATAAACTTGTGCAGTCTATGCCAAACCCTTAAAACATTTAATGTATAAACACTCGTGGTATCTTTTAATTCTCTATATTGTGCTGGTACCCATATGGGTTTACTCAAGTTAACTCCGCTTAGTTCATTTTCAATTTTGACCCAACTTTTCCCCTCTGGATTGTGTGTCCAGTCATAAATTCTCGCTAGAACTACTGCTCTATAATACCTCTTGAAATCTGGCACTCCCAATCCTCCCTTCTCTTTATTTCTACTTAACAAATCATAAGATATTCTAGGTTTTTTATTCTTCCATATATATCTTATTAACATCTTTTTAATTACCTTAAAAAAAACCTCCGGAAGTTTAATTGGGATCATCTGAATTTTATATAGGATTTTAGGTACAATTACCATTTTTATCAGATTTATGCGACCTATCCAAGATGGGTTACCTCCTCCCAATTTCTTTAGTTCCTCCTTAATCTCATTTAAGAGTGAGATATAATTTAACTTATACAAGTTTGTATATGAAGCAGTGAGTTTAACCCCTAAATATTTTATCTCTCTATCTTTCCATATAAAAGGGAATTCTTTTTGTATCTTTTCTTTTTCACTATTTGGAAGATTTACATTTAAAATCTCAGCTTTTGTTGGGTTGATCTTCAAATTTGATAGCTTCCCATAATCCTTTAAGCTCTTCATTAAATTTGGGAGTGTTATCCTAGGGTTTCCCACATAGAACAACAGATCGTCCTTAAAGGCAGCCACTTTATGTTCAATTCCTCCTATCTGTATTCCCTATATGTCCATATTTTTCCTAATTGTTGACAGTAAGGGTTCCAAAGACAATACATACAACAATGGGGACAGTGGGCATCCCTGTCTTGTTCCATTTGACATCCCAATAGGTTCCGACCTCTCTCCGTTAACCAAAATAACCGCGGAGGGCTCTCTATACAACTTTCCTATCCACGCTCTCATTCTAACTCCCAATCCCAGTCTCTAGAGTGTCCATCATAAAGCTCCAATCTACTCTATCGAATGCCTTTTCAGCGTCGATTGAAAGCACCACCGCCGGAGTTTTCCCCTTCCTAGCTTTCTGAATAAGCAACAAAGTTTTCAACCTATTGTCTCTGCCTTCCCCCCCTGGTACAAATCCCACCTGGTCCCCATGTATCCATTCCAGGCTCAGTGGACTTAAAGTGGTTCTAAAGTCTGGACATTTTTTACCTTAACGCATTCCCTGCATTAGGGTAATAAAATGTCCCAGTGTTTGTATCGCCCCCTCACCCCCCTGTATACTTATCCTATCTCAATCCAGTGTTGTGCCTGTCTGTAGCTGCTCTCTCCCTCCTCCCTGCTCTCCTGCTTTGCTGAGGCAGTGAAGGAGGGAACAGAGGTGGGGTTGACCTGTGCTGTGTGTGTCGATGGATGCACACAGCCCGCTTTGGATCAAGCCCGCAGGTGTGCCCCCATAGCAAGCAGCTTTCAATGGAAGCATAAAAAGAAGAGGAGGAGCCAAGAGTCCTGACTGGGGACCCCAAAAGGGGAGGTTCTGGGCTGCTCTGTGCAAAACCATTACACAGAGCAGGTACGTATGACATGTTTATTGGTATAATAAAATATGTTACTGAGATGAGTTTGCAATCCTTCAGCAGCTGGTTTTAAGCTCTGCAAGCTCTTCTCTATAAAATTCAACTACATAGATTGATTATTGAGTTAGTGTACACTGTTTTTCCCTAATGAAGGGGGTGGGGGGGTCCTTGACATGCATTGGCTTTACAAACAGTTTTGTTGTTGGAATATACTTGTATCTGGAGTATTACAGTATTGAACACTTTCTAAATTCACTTATCCTTACCCAACCCAAGGTGACCATGGAAGCCCCATGGTGTGCAGAAGCTGCTGAACCAATATTCAGATTCTCTACATTTGAAGGGACTGTAATATTAGATGACAAGGAATAATAGAAACATATAAAGAATCTTCAGGGTCCAGCACCACTCATCCACTTTCCCCAAGCATGAAAAAAAAAAAGAACTTTTGGTATAATGAATAGAGAAGGCTCTGTTTGGATACATAGTGTAACTGTTTGTTGTTTCTGGTCTCTCTCCAGGGTTCGTTTCTTCCCATATCCTGAGCTCTGGGAGTTGGGAGGTATCTGGATCTATCACATTATGGAATGAGAGGTGTCGGCAGCAAGCGCCCGGATCTGACAGCACCCCATCTTCCTGCACCTTCTACCGCTGTATCACAGACCCCACGGTAAGCCGCGACCGAGAGGGATGTATAAGAAAACTCCTTCTATATTCAGGAGTATTGAGTGAGGCAAAGAGCGATGGGTAAAGTTCAGTTAGGCATGACAACTAGTCGGCAGTGATGTGACCACCGTAAACTGAACTCTAGCTGCTACAGGGCTCATTCACTGTAGCGGTTGAGCTGTGTTTTTAATCGCCTCCCACCCGCCATATAAGGTGATGACAGGCGCAAGGTGGTTCTCTCGTTCTGGGAGGACGGCATGTGATGTCCTCCCACTCTAACCACCATGTGCGTGGTTCTGGGAGCACCCAACGTGGCGATCGGCGGTGTGCTGTGTCCCTTGGATCGTTGATCACCGATCAACGGAAAGAGCCGAAGAGGTCGGCTCGGTCATGTGATCAGCTGTGTCCAATCATGGCTGTTCACATGTAAATAAGGAAATGTCGGTTATCTGCATTTCTCTCCTCACGAGCTGTCACGCTGACAGAGGAGAGTAGGTAATCGGCATCCCTCAGAGGGGACATGTACACTGATCATTATGGCACTGATGATCAGTGTAGCCCCAGCAGTGCCACCTGTCAGTGCCCATCAATGCCACCTGCCAGTGCCCATCAATGCCAGCTGTCAGTGCTCATCAATGCCACCTGCCAGTGCCCATCAGTGCCTCATCAATGTCACATATCAGTGCCCATCTGAGCTGCCTTTCAGTGTTGCCTATCAATGCCTGTCAGCCACCTATCAATGCCAATCACTGTCACCTATCAGTGCTGCCAATCAGTGCCTATCAGTGCCTCCTAACAGTGCCAGTCAGTGCCACCTATCAGTGTCATCTATCAGTGCCATATATGAGTGCTGCCTTTCAGTGCCCATCAGCCTATCAGTGTCACCTACCAATGCCTCCTCATCAGTGCCCATCAGTGTCACCTATCAGTGCCCATCAGTGCAGCCTCATTAGTGCATATCAGTGAAGGAGAAAAATCACTTATTTACAAAAATTTATAACAAAAACTAAGAAAAAACTTATTTTTTTTCAAAATTTTCAGTAGTTTTTGGTTTGTTTAGCAAAAAATAAATAACCCCGAGGTGATTAAATACCACCAAAAGAAAGCGCTATCTGTCTCAAAAAAATGATAAAAAAATTTCATATGGGTACAGTGTTGCATAACTGCGCAATTGTCATTCTAAAGTGCGACAGCACTGAAAGTTGAAAACTGGCCTGGGCAGGAAGGGGGTATAAGTGCCCTGTAGGCTAGTGGTTAACAACCCCAATCCTCACTTGCCCCCTGGCTGGGGTTGTACACATCGCTTCTGCAGCAGAAATGATGCCCCCTGTTTATTTTGGAGGGCATCGCGCCTAGCTAGCATTACCCATTAAAATGGGGCTGCTTTGTAAGCACCCTACAACGACATGTGGTTACACCATGCTAGTGCAGGGTTCAAGGGTTTAACCACTTCTTGTCCGGACACTTTCCCCCCCTTCCTGTCCAGGCCAATTTTCAGCTTTCAGCGCTATCACACTTTGAATGGCAATTGTGCGGTCATGCAACACTGTACCCATATTAGATTTTTAACCTTTTTTGAGACAGATAAAGATTTATTTTGGTGGTATTTATTCACCACTGGGATTTTTATTTTTTTTGCTATATAAATGAAAAAGTCCAAAAATTTTGAAAAAAAGTGTTTTTCTCATACATTTTTGCAAATAAAGAATCTTTTTTCATACATCTTGGCCAAAATGCATTCAGTTATTTTAGTAAAAAAAAAACAAATTCGTTTTATAACCAAAAATAATAAGTTTAAATTTTTTTTTTACATTTTTATTTTTTTATATTATTTTTTTTTTTTGTTTTTTTTACATGCCATCACCCTAGCAGTACAGTGCACCATAGTGACACTGTACTACTTGTGGGGGGTGATGTTTTTTTTTTTTTACACTGATTGCTTTTACACCCATAAAGGCTGTAAAAGCAATCATTTCTCCTTCACTCTGGCTGCATTCTTGCAGCCACTGAGAAATACTGTGTGAGCTTTGATTGGTCACAGCTTGTCACATGGTACAACACTGTTGTGAATGTTTTGTAATAGTTTTCAGAAGTGTACTTGCTTACTACATGGATCAATCAATCAGTGATCACATGATCGGATCCTCACAGAGGTCCTGTACAATGATCGGTGTTCCGCTGTGTCCTCCGGACACAGTGGGCACCGGATTGCGGTGCTGCACGCTCCCAGGAGTGCGCACAAGCAGGGAGGATGCTAATAAAGGTCTCCCGTTTTATATACATGAACCGGAAGGGAAGTGGTTAAAACAGGCAGTAAGGAGGCAATAAAATGACTCCTCAACACCTATCAAATGCTCTCTGAAAAGCAATCATAATGCTGCTTACGCTTCAGAGAGCAAAGCATGTGTGAACTAGCTTTTGACCAATGTGGGTGTTCTGACAACTGCCCTTTCCACCCACCTGTGACAAAAGACTGGACAACCTCACGCCGCTCTGTCACTTATGCAACAATGCCACTCTCGGCTTCACACTGCACAAAGATTTTCCAGCTTGCAGGACCACAATCTAGGTGCCAAAAGACTGAGAGTGATTGTTACTGGGTTGAGTTAACTCTTGAAACTCCAAACTGCCACCAGATAGGATCGGCCTATCACCCATCCATAATATTAGCAAGAACAATTATGAAAAATAAATATCTGTACACACACAGTCACCACAGACAGGTACATTCTGAGGGTTATACTACAGTAAAGCTCTTCAAGAGATAGGGATTCTTTTAGTTTGCATTAGGGCACTAGAGACAGCTTCAGCACTTTTCAAATATAGTTTAATAATGAAAAGTTAAAAATGGTGCAAATAAAATATTGCAAAAAAACTCAAAAATATTACAAAATAACAGAAACAACAAGCAACAGAGAAATAAAAAGGAGTTGAAAATGAAGAATAATTTCAAGTCCTGTTTCAGCAGATTTCAGTCAATGAGCAAGGTGTTAGATTGGCTCTCATAACTTGACAGCTCTTGACAGTACATGAGAGCTGTCAACATGTGGTTGCATTCCACTTTTCTTCACATCAAGGGGGGGTGTTGACAGAGACCATCTAACCAATCATCCGGTCTAAGGGGTGATTGCTGGGATGTCACAAACTTAAGACCAAGTCCCAGATACAGTTTTCTATAGGTATTCATATCTCTATATGCAGTACCTACTGTTTACAGTCGAGCTAACATGCATATTATTATCCAGCATGAAATTAGCTTCAAAATGGCTTTACATATGACAGGTCTCAGATGCCCAGTTTGTCTAGGAATTATTATTATTATATACAGGATTTATATAGCGCCACAGTTTGCTCAGCGCTTTACATTATGGTGGGAGACCGTACACAAGACAGTACAGTAACAATACGATTCAATACAAGGGGGGTTCGAGGGCCCTGCTCCTTGGAGCTTACAATCTAGGAGGGAGGGGATAGTGGTAGAGGAGGAAATAGCTGTGGGGGATGGAGTGGTTGGAAGAGTGGAGGAGTTCAGTATTAGCTGAGGGCGGGGTAGGCTTCCCTGAAGAGAGAGGTTTTCATAGTGTGCCTAAAGGTGAGCAGAGGAGATGATAGTCTGATGGATTTAGGTAGGGATTTCCAGAGGATGGGGGAAGCCCTGGAGAAGTCCTGGGGACAAGCATGGGAGGAGGAGACAAGGGAGCTAGAGAGCAGGAGGTCTTGTGAGGAGCAGAGAGAGTACGGTTTGGGTGATATTTGGAGACAAGATTGGTGATGTAGTTAGGGGCAGTGTTATGAACAACTTTATACATCAGTGTTAGCATTTGAATTTTATCCGTTGGGCAATTGGAAGCCAGTGGGCGTTCTGTTGCCAATACTCCTAAGTTAACCATTTCAATGGACCTTCCTGCCCAGGCCAGTTTTCAGGTTTCTGCGCTCTCACACTTTGACAATTGCGCGGTTCATACAACATTGTACCCAAACTAAAATTTTATCATTTTCTTCACACAACTAGAGCTTTCTTTTGGTGGTATTTAATCACTGCTGGGGGTTTTTTTTTTTGCTAAATTAACAAAAAAAGACCAATAGTTTGAAAAAAAAAAAGTTTTTCTTTGTTTCTGTTATAAAAGTTTGCAAATAAATAATTGTTCTTCATAAATTTAGGCCGAGATGTATTCTGCTACATGTCTTTGGTGAAAATAACCCAAATTAGGATGTATTTTTTAGTTTGTAGGAAAGTTATAGAGTTCACAAACTATGGTATAGATCTGAATATTGATCAATCCTGAAGTACTGACAGCCAATCTAATTTCTTGAGGTCCAAGAATGTCAGAACAGTACAGATATCCCCAAATGACCCCTTTTTGCAGAGTAGACAGTCCGACGTACTTCATAAGAGGCATGGCGAGTTTTTTGAAGTTGTATTTTTTTTTTGTCATAATTTTTCGGGGAAAATGAAAAAAATTAAAAAAATTAGTTTCACTATTTTTTTTTTACATATTGTCACAGTGCAGTACAGCGTCATCATATAACAGGCATGGCGGTGAACAGGGACACTGACTGGTGACAGTATGAAAAAAAATATATATATATATATATATATTTTATTTTTTTTTTATTATTTTTTATTAAATTTTTTTTTCTTTTTCTTACGATTTTTTTTTTCATATTTCACTATGTCCAAAGTAGTACAATGTTACCATAGTAACATTGTACTACTTTGGGGTGCAAAGAATTATTTTGCTATAAGCAAGCATTTACCTGAATGAAATCGATTCATTCAGGTTTTTTTTTTTTTTTTTTTTTTGTGCTTAGCTGTGATTTGGCCACAGCTAATCACATGACATGTGCATGTGATTAGCTGTGACCATTCACAGCTAGACACTAGTATACAATGGATGGCATGAATGAAGCCATCCATTGTATACTACTGTCATGGAGCTGCTGTGATTGGTCACAGCAGGTCACATGGTACCGGCAACGGGGGCCGATACTCAGATCTGTCAT